AGGAGTGCCTGAGGAATGTCACACCTTTCCCACCTGGTGGGGGGGGGGTGGATGCAAGGTATTAGCTTGTGCTTTGCCCTCAGCACGCCTTTTGCTCCCTCATCAATAAGACAGTAAGGCAGCTGGCCAGGCCTGTAGCCCAGGTTGAGAGGAGTATACTAAGAGAAGCAAAACCACAAAGGACCATGCACCCTAACCACTTTTTTAATTCCAGTATAATTAAGGTACAGTGTTATATTAGTGACTCCACACTTCTATACATTACTCCGTGCTCATCACAGTAAGTGCACTCTTAATCCCCTTCACCTATTTCACCCATCCCCCCACCCACCTCCCCTCTGGTAACCATCAGTTTTTCTCTAGAGTTGAAAGTATGGTTTTTTGTCTGTTTTCTCTCATCCTTTGTTTCTTAAACTCCACATGAGTAAAATCATATGCCATTTGTCTTTCTCTGACTTATTAGCATTATATAGCCTTATAGCTTCTAGATCCATCCGTGTTGCACATGGCAAGATTTCATTCTTTTCTATGGCTCAGAAATATTCCAATTTGTGTGTGTTTGTGTGTGTTCTTTATCCATTCATCTATGGATGGACACTCGGGCTGCTTCCATAATTTGGCTATTGTAAATAATGCTGCAATAAACATAGGGGTTCATCTATCTCTTTGAATTAGTTGGGTTTTCTTTGGGTAAATACCCAGTAGTGGAATTACTTGATCATATGGTAATTCTATTTTTAATTTTTTGAGGTACCTCCATAGTGTTTTCCACAGCAGCCACACCAGCCGGCACGTGCATTCCCACCAACAGTGCACGAGGGTACCTTTTTCTCCACATCCTCGCCAACACTTGTTGTTTCCTGTGTTTTTTATTTTAGCCTTTCTGACAGATGTGAGGGGATCTCTCGTGGCGGTTTTGGCTTGCATTTCCCTGATGATGAATGCTGCTGAGCATCTTTTCACATGTCTGACACCCTACCCACTTTTTCAATAAGTTAGACTGAGCTTTTAGGGCTCTGAAAGACCCTTCCAGGCAGCCAAGTGAGAGCACAGGAATGGTGGCTGATTCTGTCTCAGATGGGCCTCTCTTATATTCCCTTACCTACTGCTTCCACACTGTTGAAATAGAGGTAGTAAAGATGACCCTAAAAATCCCACCCATTTTGAGGCACTTGACTCACGGTGACAACCCTCCACACACCCCCCTCCCCACGCCACCCCCCCACCACACACTAAAGGCAAAACAGAAATCTACTGCTGAGCCGTGTCCTTAAATCTCACCCCAAAAGATCAGTACTGTATACAACTTCAGCCTAGAGGATGCATACTAACCCTAACCCTAACCGTAAAGAGAATAAAATCGAATTTAAAAACGCCCAGTTCGTAACATTTCATGTAACATTTGGACCAAAAAGCCTTGTAAATGTAGTATTTTGAAATGGGATGCTTTCCTGCTCTTGGGGAACAGAGACACCGTCTAGCATATGTATGACCGCACAGTACCAGAGAACCATGCTGATTTTACATATTTGAGTTAAGTAAGAGTGGCAGAGAGCTCCCTACCACAAAATAAAAGCCGTCACGCGGACGAGGCATACCTCTCAGAATGGAACCTAGAACCAGAACTGTGAATTCCAAGGCACATCAGACACATTGGCATTAGAACACGCCCCCTCCCTTGCACCGGACACATTTGCACTGCAGCTGAGTAAGGTCCACAACGCAAAGGATCTCTGTAGCTTCACTGCGTGGCAGAGCCTGAGTCCTGGGCTGTCGGTTTCAGATGAGTGACTACATCATGGACCTGAAAGACAACCATCTGTTTTTCTACTCTCTGCTTCCTGATAGGCAGAGAAGCTGTTCCCATGTTGTAGATGGAAGGAAAGCTAAACCACAGGTTAGGAGCATCAGAATGGCTTTATTATGGACTTAGGGCTGTAGCCACAATGGTGTATGTAATCAGATCATTCCCACGAACGTGTATGGGGCGGATGGAACAAAGGAGAACTTGGGCGGTCACGTGGACAGACACTGATCTATGCCAAGAAATCAGATCATGCAGCTTAAGTACTCAGAGCTGTGCAAAATCAAATCCTCACTTTGCAACAAAGATGTGGGGGGCGGGGAGCGGGTGGAAGAAGAGGTAAGGGCTAAAGGGGGCTCTTACTTGAACGTGGGCAGTTTTGGGGAAGAGAGCCGTGTCCTCCACTGATTCTATCAACGTTGCTGCTGTTTCCCTCCCACCGTCATGGAAGTAAGTTTTTGGGATACAGGTAAGTTCCGGTCAGCTAAGTTCCTACGGAGGCAAGAGGAGTAAGATAAACAAAGGCAGAACTGCCAGGATTCACGTCTTTTATTCCGCCGCCCGCCCCCCTCCGCCCCAAGCGCCAGGGGAGGTGCACGAAGTTCTGTCACAAGCCAAAAGTCAGTTCGCTAAGGGGATTCGTCAGATGCCCTGCCCCGAGGGGGAGACGGTTTCTTGCAGGACGAGGTGAAGGAGGTGGTTCTGCTCAGCACTCAACAGTGGCCACATCTCCACTTGCAGCGACTTGACGGCTTCTGTGTCCTTTTCGTGGGTGGCCATGACCAAGGACTGGAGCAGCAGGAACAGCTCCTCGGGAAGCTGGCCACCGCTCTCCTGCCCGTGGCTGTCGAAGGCCTCCCAGGAGTACTTCTCCAGGGTGTGGGCATGCTCCGGCAGGAGCTTGGCGGGCGGTGGCTGCAGTAGCAGCAGCAGCAACACGCGGGACACCTCGCAGCGGACCAACACGTCCGAGAAGGCTCCCAGCGCGGCGGGAGAGGGCGCGCCGGCCGTAGAGCCGGCGCTCGGAGGGAGCAGCGCGGCGGGCAGGGCCGGGGCCGCGCCGGGGCCCACCTGCTGCCCTGGCGGCGGCGGCGGCGGCGGCGGCGGGAGCGGCGGCGGCGGCGGCGGCTGCACCGGGTGGCTGCCGTGCTCCCGCGCCAGGCGCTGCATGCGCGTGAAGACCGCCAGGGCACCGCTGTAGTCGCGCGCCAGCAGCTGGCAGGAGGCGGCGTCGCCAAGAGACTGCAGCGCGGCCAGCGGCAGCTGCGGGAGCTGCAGCTGCGCGGCGCGCTGGAAGTGGCCGGCGGCGGCGGCCGGCTGGCCCAGGTCGCGCAGGGCGGCGGCCAGCTCGAGGCAGAGGGCGGCGGCGGCGGCCGGCTGGCCCAACTCGAGGTGCAGGCGCACGGCGGCGCCCAGAGCGCTGGCCGCGGCTTGCAGCGGCTCCCCGTAGGCTGCCGGGCAGACGAGTCGCTGGCGCGCGTCGCGCTCCTGCCGCAGGAAGAGGCGGGCGGCCTCGGTCAGCGCCAGCGCCTCCCCAGGCCCGTGGAAGAGCGCCTGCTGGCAGCGCGCCACCGCCAGCTGGCACCAGGCCGCGTAGGGCAGGCACTCCTGGGCACGCAGCTCGCGGCCCAACTGGCCAAACTGCTCGCCCGCCTCCGCCACGTTCGGCTTCCGCAGGAACCGCTTCTTCAGCTTGCTGGACACCTGGCGGTAGCGGGCCAGGAAATCCCCGGCCTCGGACCCGGGGCCCGCACCGCCACCCAGGCCGGCGGCGGACGACGCCATGTTCGCCGCCCTCGCGCTGACGCAGACCGTCGGACGTGGCGGCGCCCGGGCGCGACGTGCCCTGCGTCCCGCCGGCTCGGGCTGGCGGCGCGGCCGCGCGCGCTCGCGGAGCCCGCGCGCGCCGGGGCGCTGGGGGATAGGCAAACGCGCGGGATCGGCGGCCGGAGACCTCGCGGGGCGCCCGTTGTCTACGGAAATCGTGGGTCCTGGGGCGGGGCCTGGCCGGGTGCCCGCCGTTGCCGGGCGACACAGCCTGGTTACCCAGGTTGCTACTTACAGGCGTCTCCTAGCGTCTGTAACCGGAACCCGAGGAAAGCTCAGCTCGCGATCCCGCGTGGCCCTAAAGCCAAGTTTGCACGTGTCATGATGGCCAGCCACCCAGTCCGTCCTCAACCTTCCAAAGCCCCTGCCCCACTAGAGCCCAGGCCGACAGGTCTGTCCACCCCTCCGTCCCGCACCCGGGTTGCCATTGCACGTGTTCACCCCTTGCCGACGCCACGGTCACATGGCCTTTGAGCTCCAGCCCGAGGAACACCATCCTTCCCGGGACCGTCCCGGGCTCTGACGTGCTCAGAGCCAAGGCGGGGAAGGCGGGGGGGGGGGGGGCGGGGGGGGCGATCTTCTGTGCCCCGGCCTCACCCCCCTCCCCACCGCAGCCAGCCTCTCCCACCCAGGGCCACCCCCTGCACAGTCCCCGAGAGAAACGGCTCTTCTCTGTCCTCCCCGAGCCGGACCCCTCCCCGCACGGCCGCCACACGCCGCCAGCACCCGCGACCCCCGCCCCGTCCCTTCTCTGTCCTCCCCGAGCCGGGCCCCTCCCCGCACGGCCGCCACACGCCGCCAGCACCCGCGACCCCCGCCCCGTCTCTTCTCTGTCCTCCCCGAGCCGGGCCCCTCCCCGCGCCGCAGCCAGACGCCGCCAGCACCCGCGACCCCCGCCCCGTCCCTTCTCTGTCCTCCCCGAGCCGGGCCCCTCCCCGCACGGCCGCCACACGCCGCCAGCACCCGCGACCCCCGCCCCGTCTCCTCTCTGTCCTCCCCGAGCCGGGCCCCTCCCCGCGCCACAGCCAGACGCCGCCAGCACCCGCGACCCCCGCCCCGTCCCTTCTCTGTCCTCCCCGAGCCGGGCCCCTCCCCGCACGGCCGCCACACGCCGCCAGCACCCGCGACCCCCGCCCCGTCTCCTCTCTGTCCTCCCCGAGCCGGGCCCCTCCCCGCACGGCCGCCACACGCCGCCAGCACCCGCGACCCCCGCCCCGTCTCCTCTCTGTCCTCCGCGAGCCGGGCCCCTCCCCGCGCCGCAGCCAGACGCCGCCAGCACCCGCGACCCCCGCCCCGTCCCTCCAGGGAGAGGGACGTCCCCCAACCACGTCCCACACAAAGCGACTGAAGCACACACACGGGGTTCTTTCTTTCGCTCGCTTTTATTGCTTGGACCAAAAGGGGTTCCTTGCCCCACTTTTCTGGACCGTCAAGGACTTTGCCCGAGGCACCAGCCGGGCCGGGGCTGCCCCAGCGGTGAGCAGGCCGGACTGGCCGGCCGGGGCCCGAGACCCCGGCTCACGTTGGGCAGCTACTCCCAGGCCGGGGCCACCTGGGAGATGGTCGTAGCCCCGAAGAAGCCGCTGAGCAGCGCGTTGTTGTGGACGGCCATGTCCACGAGCTCCGGGGTGATGCGCCTCCTGCCGCTGTTCCGGGCCTCGTTGCCTGCCAGCTCCAGGACCGTGGCCGTCAGGTACTGGATGACGGCCGCTAGGAAGACGGGTGCGGACGAGCCCAGGCGCCGCGCGTAGTGGCCCTCCCTCAGCAGGCGCTCCATGTGGCTCACGGAGAACGACAGCTCGGCTCGGGCAGTGCGGGAGCGGGTCCGCCTCTGGCTCCTGGACGACCCTCGACGGCTCCTTTTCCCCGGCATGCTGGGCCTTGACTGCGCTTTCTCCGACGGGTCTAGCTCTGCGGTGCGGTGCGGTGCGGTGCGGTGCGCCAGCTGGGCCCAACGTCTCCAACCAGCCGGTCGTTGGGCCCCTGAGCCGCCGTCTCCTAGCGACCACGGACCGACCCCCTTCATTGGTCCGGGGACACACTTCGTGACACGTAGATCCGGTGAGGTCACTGCTTTCCCATCAGCCCCTGCTGGGAGCCTGGGCCTGCCAAGAAACGGCGCCGGCAGGAGCCTGCTCGCCCTGCCCCCCTGCAACCTCTCCTGGAGGGAATGCTCACTTTCCCGCCCCACGGGGACGTTGTACAGAAAAGAAAAAAAAAAAACAACCAGTCGTGGAGGGTCCGGTGGTACCGAGCAGACGCTCGAGGTGTCGGGCGAGCAACACGACTCTCTAGTTCCAAAACGCAGGAGCCCCCTGCTCACCCGGCCCCCCTGCAACCTCTCTTGGAGGGAATGCTCACTTTCCCGCCCCACGGGGACGTTGTACAGAAAAGGAAAAAAAAAAAAAAAAACAGTCGTGGAGGGTCCGGTGGTACCGAGCAGACAGACGCTCGAGGTGTCGGGCGAGCAACACGACTCTCTAGTTCCAAAACGTGGGCACCACCCCAAAAAGAGACCCCTGCACCTGTCAGGCAGTCACTCCCCCCACGGCACCTCCGTCCCTCCCCACCCCACCCCCCTCCCCCACCCCACCCCCCCGTAGCCCCCAGGCGACCACTCATCTGCTTCCGGCCCACAGAGGTTTGCCTCTTCGGGAGACTTACCTAGAGATGGGATCGTAAGACCAATAGGTGGCTTTGGGGGTCGCGCTGCTTTCGCTCAGCACCCATGTTTTCATGAGGGCTCCTCCACGTGGTAGCCTGAATCAGCACTTCGTGTCTTTCGACGGCCGAATAATATCCCCCGGCCATGGATAGACCACGCGTCGTGCATCCCGTCCGTCAGTGGACGGGCCTTGCGGTGCTTTCCACCTTGGGGCGGATGGGCAGGAAGAGCGCTGCGGTGGACGTTCCCGTACACAGGGTTCTGTCGGAGCGCCTGTTCCCAATGCCTTCGGGTATAGATCCAGGAGTGGGATTGCGGGGTCCTTCCTATGGTCATTCTATGTGTACCTTACTGAGGAGCTGCCCAACGGATTCCCACGGCAGCTGTGCCACTTTCCAATCCCAGTAGCACTGGGCGAGGGTCCCAGTTCTTCCACACCCTCGCCCAAACTTGTCATTTCCCACTTGCTTTGTTTCTCTTGTGCCTAGAAGAGCCATCCTACTGGGTGTGAGGTGCTATCTCATGGTGACTTTTTCTTAGAGAGGGAGACGGGGGGGGGGGGAGGGGCAGAGGGAGGCGGGAGAGAGAGAGAGAGAGAGGAGAATCTTAAGCAGGCTCCGTGCCCGGTGCAGAGCCCACCGTGGAGCCTGACGTGGGGCTGGATCTCACAACCCTGAGATCATGCATGACCTGAGCCGAGGTCCAGAGTCCAAACGTTCAACCGACTGAGCCACCCAGGCGCCCCTGCGGGTGGTTTTGACCTGCACGTCCCTAACGGCTATAACGATGTTGAGCAGCTTTTCACGTGCCTCTTGGCCATTCGTACATGCGCTTCGGAGGAATGGCTGCTCGAGTCCTTTGCCCCTTGTTTAACTGCCTTGTTCGCCTTGTCTGCTCAAGTCCTTTGCCCACTGTTGAACCGCGCTGTTCACCTCTTCGTTGTTGAGTTCTAAGCATTCTTGATGCATTCTGAAAAATACGCCCTTATCACCTACATGATTTGCAAATGCTTCTCCCATCCTGGGGACGGGGAGGTTGGCCTTTCACTTTCTACACAGGTCCTCCTCCTTTTGTGGCCATGCTTTTGCTACCATATGTAAGGAACTGTTGCGTAACAGAGTCTCTAGGGAGAGTCCTTTGATGCACAAATGTTTTTGGTTTGGATGGGGTGCGGTTTTGTTTTTCTCCTCCTCCTCCATCCCTCCTCCTTCCTCTTCTCCTCCTCCCTTTCTTGTAGCTGTGCTTTTGCTGCCATATTTAAGGAAACACTGCATAGTCAAATCCACCAGGATTTACATCTATGGTTTATTCCAAGGGTTTCATGGTTTCCTTGCTTACATTTAGGTTTGTGATCCAGTTTTGGAGTTCACTTTCAGACACGGTTTCAGACTGGACTCCACATTCTTTCTTTTGTCTGTCGATACTCAGTTTTCCCAGCTCCGTTCCTTGAAGAGATTGCTCATTCCTACATTGAATGGCCTGACCACCCTTGTTCAGTATCAGCTATTCATAAATCTGTGAATTTATTTCTCACTCTAAATTCCAAAACATTGACCTACATGTCTACCGTTATGCCACCATTATGCCGTTTTGGGGATTGCTTGGAAATTGGGAAGTGTGGGTCCTCCAACTTTGTTCTTCTTTTTCCAGATTGTTTTGGCTCTCTGTGTCCCTTGCAGTTCCATATGCATTTAGGATTGGCTTTAACATTTCTGCAAAACAAGTCACTGAGATTTTGATGGGGGTTGTATTGAATCTCTATATTGCCTTGGGGACTATGGCCATCTTAACAATATTAAATGTTCAATTTACTGAAACAGGATGACTTTCCATTTATTTAGGTCCTCTTTAATTTCTTTCAGCAATGTTCTCCTTTCAGCAAATACAACTCTTGCACATCTTTTGTTAAATTTATTCCTCATTGTTTTATTCTTTTTTTTTTTTTAAAGATTTTATTTATTTATTTGACAGAGAGAGACACAGTGAGGGAACACAAGCAGGGGGAGTGGGGGAGGGAGAAGCAGGCTTCCCGCGGAGCAGGGAGCCCGATGCGGGGCTCGATCCCAGGACCCTGGGATCACGACCTGAGCCGAAGGCAGATGCTTAATGACTGAGCCACCCAGGTGCCCCATCCATTTGATGATATTTTAAATAGAATTGTTGGGGGTGTCTGGGTGGCTCAGTCAGTCAAGTGTCTGCCTTTGGCTCAGGTCATGATCTCAGGGTCCTAGAGTTGAGTCCCCCATCAGGCTCCCTGCTCATCAGGGATCTGCTTCTCCCTCTGCCCCTCCCCGCTGCTGATGCTCTCTTTCAAATAAATAAATAAAATCTTTAAAAAAATAGAACTGTCAATTTCATTTTAGATTTTTTCACTGCTACTATATAGAAACACAACTGATTTTTGTGTGTTGATCTCATATCCTGCTACTTTGTTGAATTCACTTATTAACTCTATGTGTTTTGTGTATTGTTTAGGATTTTTTGTATGTAAGATTATGTCATCTGAGAATAGAGATAGTTTTCCTTCTTCATTTCCAATTTAGAAGCCTTTTATTTCTTTTTCTTGTGTCATTGCTCTGGCTAGGATTTCCATTACAATCCTGAATAGAAGCAGTGAAAGCAAGAATTCTTGTCTTGTTCCTGATGTTAGGAGAAAAGCTTTCAGTCTTCCACCATTGAGTATGACATTAGCTATGGGTATTTCATAAATGCCCTTTATTATGTTTGGTAATTCCCGTTCTATTCCTAGTTTGCTGTTGTTTTTTGTCAGGAAAAATTGGGTTTTGCTCAATGCTTTTTCTGCATCAATTGAGAGGATCATGTGGGTTTTTTCAACTTTGTTTTATTAATTTAATGTTAAATAATTTTCTTATGTTGAAGCATCTTTGTATTCCTGGGAGAATTCCTATTTGGACATGAAATGTAATATTTATAATGTGCTGCTGGATTCAGTTTGCTAAAATTATTTGAGGATTTCTGCATCTATATTCTTTTTTTTTTAAGATTTTCTTTATTTATTTGAGACAGAGGGAGAGCACAAGCAGGGAGGAGTATCAGAGGGAGAGGGAGAAGCAGACTCCCCACTGTGCAGGGAGCCCAACACGGGGCTCATTCCCAGGACCTTGAGATCATGACCTGAACAGAAGGCAGATGCTTAACCAACTGAGCCACCCAGGTGCTCCTATATTCTTTTTTTTAGAGATTTTATTTATTTATTTGAGAAAGTGAGTGTGAGCAAGTGAGAGAGAGAACACGAGTGGGGGGAGGAGCAGAGGGAGAGGGAGAAGCAGACTCCCCACTGAGCATGGAGCCCAACACGGGGCTCGATCCTGGGACTCCAGATCATGACCTGAACCAAAGGCAGACACTTAACCAAATGAGCCACCCAGGCACCCCTCTATATTCTTGTTTCAAAGATTTTTTGTTTATTATATGAAAGAGAGAGAATGAGTGGGGTGGGGGGCAGAGTGAGAGGAAGAAGCAGGCTCCCCGCTGAGCAGGGAGCCCGCTGTGGGACTCGATCCCGAGACCCTGTGATCATGACCTGAACTGAAGGCAGTCGCTTAACTGACTGAGCCACCCAGGCGCCCCGGCAAAACAATTTCTTAGAAAATTCCCCATAATACTATTACTCTGCTGTGTGATTATATAACAGACTTACACTGATTCCTATTTTAGTGTATTCAAGCAGATACAAATCCCAGGTGTTTTGTAAAAGATAATTTTCAACTTTCCAGGGCACCTGGGTGGCTCAGTCGTTAAGCATCTGCCTTCGGCTCAGGTCATGATCCCAGGGTTCTGGGACCAAGCCCCGCATCGGGCTCCCTGCTTGGTGGGAAGCCTGCTTCTCCCTCTCCCACTCCCCCAGCTTGTGTTCCTTCTCTCACTTTGTCTGTCTCTCTCCAATAAATAAATAAAATCTTTAAAAAAACTTTTTTCAACTTTCCTTATACTATGTGCCATGGTTTAAATCTAGGCCTTTTGAATAGGCGTTACTATCATATTTCTCAAACTGTGTTCCTTTTCCTTTAAATATGCTGTGCACTTTCCTCTGGAACCTAGACTTGTCAAGGTCTTAAACCCCACATGATGGATGTTACCATGTGTCTCGAATTCATACACAAGGAATTATTAATTAAAGCCTCACAGTTCATGCACACACACACACACACACACACAGCCCACATTCTTGGAAGATTATTCTGAGGCCAGTAAGTGAGGCAGACTTTCACAGCTGACTCTGGCCTAAGCTGGTGCTTCTCAAACTTCGATTTCTGATTCAGTAGATCCGGAATAGAGCCCAAGATACGGTATTTCTAATTGCTCCCAGGTGATGCTGATACTGCAGGATTAGCAAGGCCCTAAGTGGCTTCCTCAACTTTGATGAGCCTTTTACAGGACCCCAAAATAGAAGACCACTTCACCTGCCCAGACTTAATCTCCCTTGTTCCATTCTTCTTCCAGGTGTTTCTCTCCTTCATGTATTCCATTCTCACATCTGTCTAGCTAGAATGGCTTTATTTGTGTGTGTTGAATGCTGTTGAGAAACGCACAAAGCAAGATTAGGAGGCAGATATGATTGGGAGCAATTGCTTTTTACTGTCTCCACTTGCTAATTCCTCCCTACAGGTCTTCTTTGGCAATGTGGATTCATCTGGGATAAAACACAATATTTTTAACCCTCCAATTATTGCTCGGTACATCCGTTTGCACCCAACACATTACAGCATCCGCAGCACTCTTCGCATGGAGCTGATGGGCTGTGATTTAAACAGTAAGTGCCAAGTCATCATGTGTCCTTCCCTCTCCCAACACTGGGGAGGATGACTAACTGTCCTAGTGTTCTGAACAGTAGGGGGATTTCGCTGGGCACAAAACTATTAATGCTAAAACCAGCCCAGTCCTGAGCAAACCCAGGACTTGGTCATTCGAAACATGGGATTCCTAGGGGCAGCACCTCCCAAGGTACTATTAACAAGGCAAATCAAAGTCAAACAGAACTGAGAAGGGCTGACCCAAAAATGAGGGGCAGGTCAGGTTAACAGTAAAAGAATCGGTGCCGAAGTCAATGCCTGAGAAATGACGTCAGGATGACAGTTGCCCTGTGGGTGCATATTCTCCTGACGATTACATCCCTTTCATTTCTCTGAGGTTGCAGCATGCCACTGGGGATGGAGAATAAAGCAATATCGGATGCCCAGATTACTGCCTCATCCTACTTAAACAGTATGTTTGCCACTTGGTCTCCTTCACAAGCCCGATTACACCTCCAGGGGAGGACTAACGCCTGGAGACCTCAGGTAAGAGGCAACAAATTTGCCATTTAACTGATGCAGAGGAGGGAGTACAGGTTGGGAAAGAATAGGGAAGGTCCTTGACTGTTTCTTTAGAGGCATTTCTGTCACCTGACTGTTCCCAAAAAAGTGTCAAGGGTGGTTGCCTCTGGGGGGAAAAATCCCTGCAGATGTCTAGTGGATGTGCCATGTGATCTCACACAGCATTTGTGGGGGGAAATAATCCCTAACTGAACCTCCTAGAAGCAGAATCTCTATATGCAATCCTGGGCAGATGTCTGTGAAGGACTTGCAGTAGCTGAAGTAGTTTCTCGGTGCCTCAAAGGAAAGTTCATTGGGCACAGTTGTTTTTCCAGAACCAGTGAATTTGTGATTTTCAATCACTGAATAGCTTTTGGTGATGAATGCAGTCAATGGTCTCTGCTCCTCCAAGGGGCTTACTTTAAGCAAAACAGCTTGTATAACACATTGCCGAACTTGTAATACTCTAGCCCATCTATATACGGCTCTATATTCATTTAGCCAACATTTACTGAGCACCTATTGAATGGCAGACGGATACAGGGACGAATCATGAAAAATTTCGGCAATGAAGTTGCTTAGAGTCTAATAAGGGAGACTGACAAAGAGACCATTAAGATGCAGAGTGACACGTGCTATGACATGGTGAAGAAAGGATGTGGGGATTTCTGGGAGCAAATAGTAAGCAAAAGGATACCAGTCTAACTGACTTCCCCAGGCAAATAATCCAAAAGAATGGCTGCAAGTGGACTTACAGAAGATAATGAGAGTCACAGGAATAACCACGCAGGGGGTAAAATCGCTCCTTACCAGCATGTATGTGAAGGAGTTCCTCATCAGCAGTAGTCAAGATGGCCACGACTGGACTCTTTTTCTTCACAATGGCAAAGTAAAGGTATGCTGGTCTCATGCGAAAGGCACAAGAGCTCTCCTAGGGCTTGACATTTAGAAACATAGCAAGGTTGATATAAGATCAAACTTTCAAGATAAATTTTATTGAGTCTCTATAGTAATAGGACACCATGAAAGACATTTTGGGAGGACACAGTGACTCCAAGCAAGGACATACAATCCCAGGAAAGAGCAGAGTAGAGCCAAAAGTTGATTATCCCCAGGGATGTTGATGTCATCCAGGATGATGGCAAGAATCAGAGGGCTGAAGAAGAATGAGTTACTTGCCAGATGTTTAAAGATGTCTGTATCCTCATCAGCAACTTAGAGTCCCAAGCCTCGTTGATCTTTAACATATGGGACCCAGACAATCTTCCTTCTTGATGTGGGTTTGCTGGATAAGTCAACAAATTATGCTAATTAGAGGACATGACAAAAGTCTTGCTATCCCATGAGTAATGAGAGAATGAATAGTTCATCTCTATGGTCTTTCTTTTTCATCAAGAATTAACCATGGTGTGGCCCTTACCAATCTCCTTTGCTCTCTAAGCTCCCCCCCCCCCCCCGCATACTAAGAAACTCTCAGGTCCCTAAAAATAGCATGTTCTTTCTCATACCAGGCTTTTACATTCTACCTGTTTACATACTGTTTATTCTACCTAGAACAATTCTTTCCTAGGTACTTAGCACTGCCCCTTTTACTTGGCTCATTCTTTAAGTCTCAGATAAACATCTTCTCCAGGAAGAATTCCCTGATCCTCCAATGCTGGGTTAGACTTCTGCTTCTGGCAGTTCAGTGGACCAGAGTATAGATAATATGTATGCTAGAGGATATTCCCATTTTTTAAAGGGTATATCTCTGATACATGCTACCATATGGATGAACCTTGAATGCATTATGTTAAATGAAATAGGCCACACCCCATGGTGGGGCATGGGAAATGTGGTGTCCAGAAATAAGCCAGACATAAAAGGACCATTTATATGAGTGTATTAGAGAGGCTTCTCCAGAGAAACAGATCCAATAGAATGTGTGTGTGCATGCACACCTATGTATGTTTGTGTGTGTATAAAGAGATTATTGTAAGGAACTGGCTCGTGATTATGAAGACTGACAAGTCCCAAGATCTGCAGGGTGAACCAGCAAGCTGGAGACCCAGGAGTACCAATGGTCTAGTTCCGGTCCGAGTCCAAAAGCCTGAGAACCAAGGTAGCTGATGGTGTAAATTCCAGGCTGAAGGCCAGCAGGCTCAAGACTTAGGAAGGGCCAGTAATTCAGTTTGAGCCCCAAAGCTGGAAAAGCCAATGTCCCAGTTCAAAGGCAGTCAGGCAGGAAGAGTTCTTATTCAGAGGAAGGTCAGCCTTTTTATTCTCTTCAGGCTTTCAAAGGTTTGGAAGAAAATCTGCTTTATTCACTCTACCACTTGAATGTTAATCTTACCCAAAAACATCCTCACAGACACACCCAGAATAGTGTTTGACCAAATATCTGGGTACCTCCTGACCTAGGCAAGTTGGCACACAGAATTAACAATTATAATGAGGTACCTGGAATAGGCAAGTTCATGGAGACTGAAAGTAGAACAGAGGTTACCGAAGACTTGGGGAGAGGATAATGGAGAGTTACTGTCTAATGCATAGAGTTTCAGTTTTGCAAGATGAAGAATTCTGGAGATGGATGGTGGTGATGCTTGTACAACATTGTGAATCTATTTAATGCCACTGAATCGTACACTTAAAACTGATCAAAATGGTAAATTATACGTTATGTATATATTATCACGATAAGAAGGCTATCTCACTTATAGTACATACTTCTTTTTTTTTAAAGATTTTATTTATTTATTTGAGAGGGAGAGAGAGCAGGCAAGAGCACAAGAGCAGAGGGAGGGAGAAGCAGACTCCCCACTGAGCAGGGAGCCCAACGATCCCAGGACCCAGGGATCATGACCTAAGCCGAAGGCAGACACTTCACTAACTGAGCCACCCAGGCACTCTATAGTACATACCTTTTTTTTTTTCCTTCCTTCTCCTAGTCTTTTATTTGTTAAGCAGTAGTCTTTAATAATAAATGCCAAAGGAAAGCAACAAACAAAAGCAGGGGATTTGCATAGTGGATGGGAAATGACTGTGAGCCATGGCAGACCAGAAGTTCCTGTTTTGTTCTGTGGGGCCAGGAGTCTGCAATGTGGTGTGCTCATCTTTCTTCTCCCCCACAAAGGTCTCAAACAGCTTAGATGGGAGGCTGAACGTGATGACTGGTCCTAATTTTTGCTATTCAGCCATTTTTCTTTTTTTTTTTTTAAAGATTTAATTTATTTATTTGACAGAGAGAGACACAGCGAGAGAGGGAACATAAGCCGAGGGGGAGTGGGAGAGGGAGAAGCAGGCTTCCCGCTGAGCAGGGAGCCCCATGCGGGGCTCGATCCTAGGACCCTGGGATCATGACCTGAGCCAAAGGCAGACGCTTAACGACTGAGCCACCCAGGCGCCCCAGCCATTTTTCTTGATCGTGCTCTCTGACTCCGTACATTCCAGACTGTTCAATGGATTTGTAATAAACTTCCAAGATGAAGGGAAATTTCTTGCTCATTGTTTGCCTGAAATCTTGGCTTGCATTCATCTTATTAAACAAAAAATATGCTCCAAAAACGCCCAAGAGTTCAACAACTAAAACTCCTTTAAAGATCTTCTTTGCCACTGGTTCCATAGTGCGGGCCATCCTGAGGTGCATACTTCTTAATGCATTGTTACACTCGGTAAGGAAAGGGGACTCTCCAGTCCCCAAATAAAACCCCATGAGCTTTTATTTGAAAATAATGAGCTGAAATCATAGCAAACAGAGGTAAAATATGAGAAAATGTAAAATGGATGACCTTTCCTAAAGGAAAATGCTTATATTAGTGTTATTAGGAGACTAAGCTTTGAGCAAAATGCAAGGAAAACTGAACGCATTAGGTAATGAACCCCAGAAGGGAGCTAAAGTAGTTGCAGGTTAGTAGCACCTCCTGGCATCTGGAAGTCCACTCAGAAGAAAGCACTCCCAGTTTAGGTCCCCAAGATTCCCATATCCTTAAATGATAAGATCATAAATATTAGCAAACATGCAAGACAACAAACCAACTTGACTTCAAGTGAGCAGAGGGGCTCCTGGCTGGCTCAGTTGGTAAAGCATATGACTCTTGATCTCAGGGTCATGAGTTCAAGCCCCCACATTGGGTGTGGAGCCTACTTTTTTAAAGATTTTATTTATTTATTTGAGAGAGAGAAAGCACAAGCAGGGGGAGTGGGAGAGGGAGAAGCAGACTCCCCACTGAGCAGAGAGCCTGACACGGGGACTCAATCCCAGGACCCTGGGATCATGACCTGAGCCGAAGGCAGACGCTCCACCGACTGAGCCACCCAGGCGTCCCGGGTGTGGAGCCTACTTTAAAAAAATTAATGAAATTAAATTTAAAAAAACAAGTGAGCAAGAACAATCAATACAGAGTTAGTATCGAAAAACATCAGAAATTGATGAACTATGAAAACATAAAAATAAATGACAAATTATCCAAAATTATTAGGCGGTTTTGGGAAAACAAAAGTACTTTTAGAAATGAAAAACATAGGGGTGCCTGGGTGGCTCAGCCGGTTAAGCATCTGCCATTGGCTTGGGTCATGGTCCTGGGGTCCTGGATCGAGTCCTGCATCGGGCTCCTTGCTCAGCAGAGAGCCTGTTTCTCCTTTCCCTCTACCTACTGCTCCTCCTGCTTGTGCTCTCTCACTCGCTCGCGCTGTCAAATAAATAAATAAAATCTTTGAAAAAAAAAAAGAAATGAAAAACATAGTTGTTGAAGCTTGAAAATCAAAGAAAGACTTAGGGGCGCCTGGGTGGCTCAGTCGTTAAGCGTCTGCCTTCGGCTCAGGTCATGATTCCAGGGTCCTGGGATCCAGCCCCGCATCAGGCTCCCTGCTCGGTGGGAAGCCTGCTTATCTCTCTCCCACTCCCCCTGCTTGTGTTGCCTCTCTAACTGTGTCTCTCTCTGTCAAATAAATAAAATCTTAAAAAAAAAAAAAAGACTTAATAGCAGATTAGACACAGCCAAAGAGAATTTAGTCAATAGGAAGATATAGCTGAAGAAATTACCTAGGATGGAGCACAGAAGACAAGACATATAAAAGGAAATTACATAACTGGAATCCCAGAATGAAAGGGAAAATACAGTGGAGAAATGGCAAAATGTTCACTTTAAAAAGAAAACTGCCAGTTATTTTACCTGCAAAAATGGATTTTTTTGGAATAGCAGAGAATTCCAATCTGGAACAAGCAAGCTGGGGCCGAACCATAGGCAAGTCTACAGAACAAAAGAGAGGCACACCCTTTTAATACAGGAAAGGGGGGAGTTGGGAGGAGCTGTTATAAACAAAAAGTCCATTGGAATAAACTGGAAGTTGGAAGTGTAGTGGTTTCTCATTGGCTGAGTTGTGACTGTCTCTTATTGGCTGGGCTGTTGCAGGGATGAGGGTGGAGGAGGGGTGAACCTTCCTCCCTCCTGCTCTGGTAGTAAAGTAGTAAAGAAAATGGTATCCTTTTGTTGGATTTTCAATTGAAGATAAGTGGTAAGGTGTGAGAGCTCACCCTGCTGGCCTCCTGACTCCATTCTAAAGGAGGTTTCCTTTTATTAATTTTCACAAAACAAACAAGGACTAGCACTTTTGCCACTTCTATTCAACATGTTACTGGAAGTTATAACCAGAGAAATTAGTCAAGAGAAAGAAATAAAAGGCATCTAAATTGGAAAGGAAGAAATAAATCTTTCTTCACCAGTGCTATGAATATATATTTTTAATTGCATAAAACCACCCATAACTCACCTACAGAATAGCTAGAATACAAAGAATACTATAAGTTTCTATTTACAAGTAAGTAGAAAATAAACATGCAGAGCCAGCTGAGCTAGCTCCAGAGCTCACTCTGGAGAGTCTAGGAGAGACTGTGCAAAAAAAAAGAGAAAAGGTCAGTGGTAGAAAACAAAATCACTTCTGGAAAGAGAAATTCCCACCCTGAGTGAAGAAATACTAATACTCAAGACCTGTGGATCAGAGCATTGGCTTCTGGAACCAAAAGGAAAGGGATTGAAAGTATGTAGGACTAGAGGTGACACTGTTTCTGGTGAAGGGCGATATATCTGTTGGAGGCTTGGTGATGAACAAGAACAGAAATCAACTAGTGGAAATCAAGTGTCCTATTAAAAGCAAAAACATCACAAGACGCGAGCCCCTTTCTGTCCCATCTATTAAAGAAATTGCACTTCACTTTATCAACAGTGGAGGGTGCTCCTGGACTAATAAACCTAATACTCCACCCAACTTTCTTATCCCTGCCTACATAAAATCATCTGTTATTTCTGGAACAAGAAATTATAAAGAATTTCTAAATGAACAGAAAACAGCAAACGAGGTAAAATGTGTTATTGTTCTTGATTTTTCACTGCCTACTTCCTTGAAAACTCCATTGACTTTGGGCTTGGCAATAGTACTCATTTTGACCAATGGAATGTGAGTCCGAACAGAAACTTTAAATGTGTATGTTTGACTCAGTCTCTTGTGCCTCTGCCATGAGATAAAAATGTCCAACCTGAGAAGACACATGGAACAGGAGCCTCGGCCTGGAGCAGAGCTTCATTGAACCCAGAGCATTCTTTGTCTCTAGATACCACTTCCCAGTAAAAGGAAGCTGGGATCCTTATTTATTTATTTATTTATTTATTTATTTATTTATTTATTTATTAAATATTTTATTTATTTATTTGAGAGAGAGAGGAGGGTCAGAGGGAGAAACAGACTCCCTGTCAAGCAGGGAGCCCGATGTGGGACTCGATCCTGGGACTCAATCCCGGGACTCCAGGATCATGACCTGAGCCGAAGGCAGTCGCTTAACCAACTGAGCCACCCAGGCGCCCCGAAGCTGGGATCCTTAGAAAAATTACTGATTCCAAAGCTGGAGCAAAGAAACTGCCAGGTAATCTTGGAACATCTTGGTGTGCCAGAATGCACAAACACTAATGGGGTCTTATAAAAAGGACACAAGAGCTGGATTGAAGGGGTTCCTGCTGGCCAAATTTGAGACAATTTGAGCATCAAAAAGAATAATGATGGTAATGGATTATAATACATACGATAAAGAAAGAATCCAGGAGTCCAGAATCATAGCTTAAAATATAAAGGGGGAGGAGGAGCTTTTCTCCATAGAAGAATTCCAGCTAAGAAATGTAGAAGAAATGAGAAAATTAGGAAATCAATTTGCATTCATCAATATACTATTTAATACTTGTAGGGAACTTTAATGAATGCTGAAACCATTGGATGAAAGCTTGATGGGGAATATTTACATGGTCTCAAAGTATCACCCCACAGATTGTTCGGGAAGGGAAATGATCACCTTTAGAACAGAGTGATCTGGTGGGCACCACCTTTACCATGTGATCACACTTTGCATCATCAATTTATGGGACAAACTAGCATCATGTGTCCCCTGATGTGATGTAATGGGAAGGACACATCATGCACTGGGTTTTCTCACTAAAAATATTTAACCAAGGGGCACCTGGGTGGCGCAGTTGGTTAAGCGTCAGACTCTTGGGTATAGGCTGAGGACTTGATCTCAGGGTTGTGAGATGCAGTCCCGTGTGAGATTCCCTCTGCTCCTCCCGCTTGGGTGTGCTCGCTCTCTCTCTCTGTCTCTAAAATCAATCAATCAATCGATGTTAAAAAAATATTTAACCAAAATCTAATAATGAGAAAACAGACAAATTTAGAACGTGGGCTCTACAACACAATAGTCCTACACTTTTAAAAATGTCCATGTCATGAAGGACAAAAAAAGTCCAGATACTAGGAGTCTGTTCTAGATTAAAGGTGATTTAAAGAGATATGATAAGTAAATGTGATGTGTGGTTTTTATTAGATTCTGGATTGGAAAAATTGTATAAAGGGTATCATACTGATAACTGGAAATTTTAGAATACTAGGCTATATTATATCAATATTACCTTGGGGGATATGAAAATGTTATTCTGTGGTTATAAATACCCTATTTTTAGGTTTGACATGCTGAAGTAGTTAGGAGCAAAATGACATGAGGTTTACAACTTCCTTTCAAGTAGTTCAGAAAATGTGTGTGTGTGTGTGTAAGCATGTGTGTAGAGAAATAGATGATATGTTAACAATTACTGAATCTAGGTGAAGGATTTAAGTGTTCATTGCATTATTCTTTCAATATCTTGAGGTTGGTAACATTTTAAAATTAAAACTTGAGGGGACAAAGCAAGGAATAAGTCTAACAGAAGACGTACAAGCCTCCAAATATACCGTAAACATTTGTCAAAAAATCCCAGAACAGGGACTTTAATGTTTCTCAAGAGTTTCATCAAACACACAAACTTTAACAAATGTTTATAGTGTATTTGCCATGTATATACATTATACTATATATTCTATGTGACCAAGGTCTCTGACCCTCATGGAGCTGACTGACATTGTGTTGCTTTTGTTATTATCCTAAAGTTAGTACCAAGAGGTGTGAAACCAACGTATGAAAGCAAGTCACGTTGGTTGGACTGTAGATACCATTTAGTGAGTGCTTATTGTGCCCTTTCCTGGGCAAAAGTCTGACTCCCCCCTCCACCCGGCTCAGCAGGCAGACGTGGGGTGTAACCTCGCACAAAACATTCAATTTCACTAAGATTTTGGCAAGTGGGTGAGAACATTCCAGATATAAGGCCTAGCTGGAGCAAAGGCCTCCACAGCAGGCTAGCCAGGAGCTCTTAATTCTAGATGTCACTTTCCCAGGCCGATGCATAGGATGCAGAGTCATCCAGTCACCCCCCAACCCCCCGGTTCAGTCCGGGACTCCTGGAAGCATGGACTAGTCAATGGGGAGTGGAAAAACGTCTGTGCATTGCAATGGGCCCTGCGATAGATGCTAGTGAGGCGGAGGGCCATGTTGGGGGCGGAGGTATGGGTTTGCGGCTGACACAGTAGGAGGCCAATGGCGCGGGGGGAAGGGGGACAAACATTGTAACGTTCTTCCTGTCAGACAACTAATAAATGCTATCTTTCTTCTTTCAGGTTTTTCAGGGAAATCAAGACTCGTTCACACCTGTGGTGAACTCTCTAGACCCGCCACTACTGACTCGCTTCCTCCGAATTTACCCCCAGAGCTGGGCACGCCAGATTGCCCTGAGGCTGGAGGTTCTGGGCTGTGAGGCACAGCAGCTGTCCTGAGGGTCCAGCACCCCTCAGACTTGTCTTCTGCCTCCGAGCCCAGCCTCCAGGTTATTTCCTGCCCCACGATGCCCGTGGCGCCCTGACTTTTCTATGTGGTTAGACTACACGGTCCTAGCAGACACTGCCC